TTCGTATTCTTCTAAAACTACTGGGTACCTTGTCGTTGTTTCTATATATAAACATGCTCAAGTATGTATTTGTTTATTTGTTTGTATATTTTAAACAATAATCAAAACAATTGCATACATAAAATGTACAGAAGAAAAACGAAAAAAAGTATAAAAAGTCAAAATGTTGCATGTAGTAATAAATTACAAAACAACTTAACACAAAAAAACTTATAGCAAAATTGAAATGAAAGTGAATGAATAAGAATATTTTTACAACTACTTGTATAATGAAAAAAAAAAAAATGTTTGTATAAGAGTACAAACCAATACTGTGAACAAAAAATAATCATCATGATCATCAGTTTGATGAGCAAAAATTAAACAGAAAACAAAACGAAAATAAGTTTGAAAAGTTCAATTGAATTCTTTTTTGAGATATAAAGAAGAAAAGAAGAGTAAAAATTAAAGACGACATGCTAACGATGTAAAAAAAACATACAAGATAAATTAAAATGAGTTGAGGTCAAATATCAGATGTGCTTTCTGTTCATTGGAAGTTGGAAAAGTCTATAATGAGATTTCTTTCTAAAGTATATCTTTAGTAATACTTAAAAGAAAATGTTATACTTTTCATTTTATTAATTAACACTACTCCAAAAAAGTTACAACTAGTTCGAAAGCGGCGTTCTACAGCAGAAATTGAACCCTGAATTGAAAATATTCTATATTATTGTTCTTGTCTTATTGATGCCTTCATGTGTTAGGTAAATCCTATTTTTACACCCATCATAAAAAAGTGTGTGTGTGTGTATTGATATTATCAATTGGTTTGTAATATTTTAAAATCTGGACTTAGACCCACAAAATTGTTTGTCTATTCGAACAGGAATAGCTGACAAATTTTCCATAAATATTCGTAGCTGATGAGACTTGTTTGGCATTGAAAATGTGCCCACTGTTTCCCATTACCTACGTGACGGAAAATACTCATAAATAAATGAATTTTCACACAGAAATGAAAGAAGCCTTTGAGGTTTTAAAATTCGAATTACGTTTCACTCAATCTTTAATAAAAATCATAATCTGCAATGAAAAAAGTAAGAAAGTATAGTCGGTGGTCGCTGACCATATGATACCCTACACCAGCTATGAATATTAAACGTGATTTATTTTTATAATAAAGAATTTACCTTAAATATTACTTTGTTTCCGATATATTTAAACAATTTATGGGGCAAATATGAACGTGCTTCGTGCTTCGCTAGCCTAACCAAAACTAAAAACATACAAAATTTTGTTTACATTTATAGAAAATTTAAATTGATTAAATATTTTTTTAATGTTTCACTTTTTTACGTTCAATATCACATGAATAAATTCCCATTTAGTAAGAAGCTTGTATTGTTAGTTTCATTCGTATTGAAAAAAAGTACTATAAAATACCTCTTATAGATTCTCATTTAATCAAAAATTTTATGTTTCTTTGACAAGTCCAAAAATATAATTTGATGTATGAAAAAGTACCAAAAGTCCCTTTCAGTAGATTCTCATTCACTAAGGTCCCTACATTTTTAATTTTATATTTATATGTTAAATTTCCTAAAAATATCAAAAAGAACCATCGGAAAAACGAAAAAGTACAAAAATCACTCTTAATAAATTCTCATTTAATAAGGACCGTGTGTCATGTGTTCCGTTTGACCGTTAGATAGAGAATCCAAAAGGTACCATTTGAAGAATGGAAAAGTACTAAAGAGTTTCCACTTACAGAATATTACTCAGTCAAGACCATGTTAAAATATATGTTCCTAGGTTGAATATTTTAGAAAATTCAAAAAGTACCATTTATGAGATAAAATGTACTAAAAAGTTCTCTCTTAAAGAATCTTATTCAATGAGGACCGTGTATGTTTAATAATCATGTGTTTTAAATTCATATTATAAAACATACAGAGTATCATTTGAAGAAAGAAAAAGTACCAAAAGTGGAATAAATTCTACCTCAGTGGAAAGTACTAATAAAAATAGTACAAAAAACTACTTTTTCAAATTTTATAAAAATTGGATCAAGGAGTTTGAATTAAATTAAATTTCTCGTTTTTCCCAAAACAAACATTTTGTTTCAATAAATATTACAGAGTTAGTCCGCAATTTAATAGGAACACTTCAATAAATCGAAAAAGTTTTCTTAATGCTAAAAAAAGTGCCAAAAATACAGTTTACTCCCTTTTACACGAAACAGGTGTCTCCGAATATTGGGAGATATATTCAAAATATTTACAAAAATGTTATTTTGTTTATTAGTTAAAAAGCTATAAAGGGCCAAAAAAGGTACCAAGATTATCATTGTTACACATTTTCACCCCTTAAAAGAACGAATTTCAAAAGTACCCATATGCTTATTTTAAGAGTAGATAAAGGAGCATTTAAAATTTTTCTTGTATCACTAATATTAGGCAAGATTATTAAGAAAATCTGTTTTAGCCGCTTTTCCCCTTTTTTCCCCTAAATGTACAAATTTTCAAAAATTCATCCTTAAGGGATCTACATAACCAAAAACACATCTACTGTCAAAATTTCATGATTCAGCCGTTTGGGATGTGCGATGATGAATCAGTCAGTCAGTAACGCTACTCTTTTATATATATAGATTATATTTATTTATGCTGATGTTTTTGAATTTTGAACATTTTCTGTCATTTTCTGAAGGGGACTTTATATGTGAGCTAGGGTTAAATGAGGCTCGATCTTTATTAAATTTTGCAAGATCATCAAGGCTTGTATAAAACTTAGTTGTGCCGCTTTTTCTGCCACTAAAGTGGTGAAGGATATAACTATCACATAAAATATCAAACTTATAGTAATGTGGTTACTTAAGCAAACTTTTATTTCGTATTATGCAGTATTTATTTGCTTTAAACAAATCTATAGACTTAATCAAATATAATGTTGTTCAAGCAAATAATTGTTTTTAAAATTGATTCATATTTACGTAAAGTTTTTAAAACTCATATTATAAAACCAATATTTAATATAAATTTTAATAAAATTAATTCACATACGTGATGAATAATTCTGCTTCAGCCATAAGAACCTGAATATGCATTAGGGTTATCGAATCAGTTTTAATATAGTCTTTTCTACATTTTTTAGAGACGAATAACTAGGTTTATTTTATATTACAGTCAAAACCGTTTGTAACGAACTCGGTTATTACGAACTATTTTTCAAGTCTCGAGATTTTAGGAATAATTTTCCCACAAAAACATATTTAACGATACGACCTCCATTTTCAGTCCCTCAAGTGCAATTTCAAACAATTTTACTTTTTTATATCGAAATTCAAAAATTATGTGTTGAAATCATAAGAAAAAATTCAGCTTTCTTTGAAATTGTTAATTTTTTTGAAAAGAATGTAAAATAAATTTATAATTCATGTTCTTTTAATTGAGGAAAATTTACAAAAACTCCACCTGTCTTATTATGAATTGCGTTTGTAACTAACAAATTTGACTGGTCCCCGGGAGTTCGTTGTAAATGGGTTTGACCGTATTAAATCTTGTTATTAGTAAATTTTAAAAATTGCAACTGGATTATAAAAACATCTAAAATTCAAAATATTTAAAAACCGGTTTATAGAAAGTTTTGGATAATTGATCACCCTACTAAATATACATGCTTTAACAGATATGAGCAGTAGTTAAAACATTAATAAAAAGTACATATACATATGTACAAACTATGTATGTATACTAAATGCCAAATACCATTGAAAGAAAAATAAAAATAAACTTTCAAGAGCACATCACATAAAGTACAACTCCTTAATCCAACATTCAAATTAAAATGAAATTGCAGAAAAAAGAAATATACAAAATTTAAAAAAAAAATGTAGAATCAAAAGTGAGTTTTATGGAATGAGGCCATGATTGAAGTGGCAAATAAAAGTGAAAATATGCCAAAATTCTAGCAAAAATATGAATAAAAATAAAATGTTGCTGGAAAATAAAGAGATATTTAAAATGTTGAATTTCATTTAAATAAAATTTTAAGGGTTAATTAAATGTTTTAAGTTTTGAGCTAGTTTTGGTTGTTGGTATATATAAGAATAAAATTTTTATACCCTACACCACTTTAGTGGCGAGGGTATATTGGGTTTGTGCTGATGTTTATAACGCACAATTATATTTGCCCTATACACACCTTAAAGTATACCAATCTTCTTAGAATCATTTTCTGAGTCGATTTAGCTATGTCCGCCCGTCTGTCCGTCCGTCCATGTAAACCTTGTAATCAAACTACAGGTTGCAATTTTGACCTTCTATTGTCACAGGGATGAAGCCTATTGAAAATGGTTAAGATCGGTCATTATTTTACCTAGACCCCATACAACTGAACCTCCGAATAGGGCTTGTAAACCTTGTAATCAAACTACAGGTCGCAATTTTGAAGAAAATTGAATGAAATTTGGCACACGATCGGAGACGAAGCCTATTGAAAATGGTTTACATCGGTCCATTATTTCACCTAGCCCCCATACTACTGAACCCGCCGAATAAGGCTCTTAAGTTGATAATTTTGTTTAATATACTCGTATCTCGACAAAATGCTACAAAACCAAGTTCTATACTAGCCTTTATGATTCTCATGAATTTTATAATTATAGGGTCTCATTTGACCATAGACCCTATACAAAGCCCCTATCAAAATTTGACTTAAATATCAATAATTTTATTCAACAATAAATGGCTTAAGTACATCTGAGACAAGGTACAATTCAACTTAAATTATTTATTATGAAAACTAAATCACATTTTAATTTTGTAACAGGTGTAGGGTATTATATGGTCGGCCTCGCCCGACTATAATTTCTTACTTGTTATAATTAAAGTTTATATTAAAGCAAATGAAATGGATTATTGTCTGTAGCAGGCAGATTTTTAATTGATGTTTACAACTAAAACTAAAATAATTAGAAGTTAAAATTGTATATTTTTCCACTTCTTGGTTTATTACAGATTTTGTTGACCCAGCAACAATAACAACAACAAACAAGACATAATGAAGAAAATGGATTTAACTGGCAACAAAAACAGCAGCAACCAGAAATGAAAACTATTTTATAACTGAAACTGACAGCGAAACAAGAATAATTGCAACCTTTTCTTAACTCAAGTAGCGCGCTGATACCGATCGTTGAACAAATGAACAATCACCTGAAGGAAGAACACAATTCAAAAACGGAAAAACAAGTTAATTAGCGTTAAAAAAAATCGCATTGCAACAGAAAATATAAATTAAAATAAATACAAAAATAGGGAAAAAAGAAATCAAGAAACACACAAAATAAAAAAATATAAACACATAAAAGATTCAGTTTATATAAAACCCTTAAGCTTAAGCGTACCTTTAAAAATACAAAACCGGTAAAATAATAAAAAACTTGTTTTGAATTAAACAAAAAATACATAAAACAATGGTTAAGGTTGCATCATTTACAAGTGAAAATGTAAATTCTTATCTACCATGAATCAACAGCAACAACAACCACACCAGCTATATCACCAACAAACAAACATCAACAGAAAACTTGGTTGCAGAACGGGCCCCAGCTAAAACCGTAAAATATTAAAAAAAATCCAAAAAAAATATATATAATAAAAAATACATATAAAAAACAAGGCATTTGGAAAATTGTTACGCTTCAGAAATTAAATTGTAACATCCGCCAACAGGAAACATTAAAATTGTTCTAGTTTGTTTGTAATTTTATTTCGGTTTTTTTATGTTGCCACTGATACATACATGCATACACTAGTACATACCTGTATAATTTTACTATACCTGCGAGATAATAAATTATAGCAAAAGTGAACAGAAAATATATAAATAAATCCAAATTGTATAAAATAAAATTACCCTAACACAAATACCCTACACACATACATACTTCCTCTATATTAAAAGGAAAAAGATACTTCAACAACGAACTACCTTGTAAACAAATAAGTAAACCTCTTTTTGAAAAGAACAAAGAAAGGGAACACAGCTCAAAATGGAATTGTTAAAATTTTCCCGTCTAACTGTGCTTCTAGTCTGCCGCTATTATTTGGGTTTGGCAACACTTTTTATATTTGTTGCCCATCTAAATTTATCAACTGGTCAAATAGATTGGGACGACGATGATGATCCAGGTAAGTTTGTATTTATTTTTTGTTAATTAGATATTATTAATTAAGATATGAAGAGCAAACAATAGCTATTTATAATAAAATAATGCAAACAAATTTAAAAATATTTGAATGAATTTTAAGAAGACTAATCAACAAACTATATTTCATTACTAAAACTACGACTAGTGCAAGATATATTTTTTTCTTTTAGTATTTATATTTGATATTTAACAACTAATTTTAAAATATATTTTTCATAAAAGCTTTCAATCCTTTTAACTACACAGCAAAAAAAAAGAACTTCCAAAGAAGCGTAAAAGAAGTAGAATTTACTCCATGGAAGTACTGAAAAAGACCTGAAGAAGTAACGATTTTAACACTTGTCTTGTCATAGGAGGGATATCCTTTTTATTTGATTCTCAATTCACTACTTCTGAAGTCATTCTTAAGGAGTAATTCGTATTTACTTTTTTGGAAGTTATTCGGAAGTGAAATTGTATTATTATGGAATACAACTAATTTGTAGTAGATACATTTATAACAGAAGCCCAAAAATTAAAGTTTTTATCTCACAAAAAATGTAAGAACAAAAAAATATCTTCAGTATTGAAAAAATATAATTATTTTCACTTCTTCGGAAGTCATTAAATATCGCTTTCACATAAGGTAAAAAATCACTTTGTGCTACTTTTGAAGTGGTGATAAATGTTATTCTTTTCGAAGTACATCGTTTTATTTTTGCTGTGTATTTAAGACAATTAAATATTTAACCAAACTCAAAGAATTTTCTTCAAATTCAATACACCTACAAAAACGTAACATTTTCTACATTAAACGCCCACCATAAAAACTAAATGTTAAAAAAAGAAACACGTATCAAAATCAACCATAAAATTTTGATTTACACCAAAAAATTTAATCAAATAAAATATTTTGAAGCCTAATAACTTAGCTTTATCTTCTCTATAACGGATTATAAAATACAAATTTTTGACAGATTTTTCTATAGGCATAATCTCTAAGCAAATCACAAAACCTACCAGACACATGCGACCTTTAGTAAAAAAAAACAGATATATTTTTTATGAAACCTTAATCACTTTAAATATTAACAAAGTTTCTATTTTTTTTATTTATTTTTCAAGAGGGGAAACAAATAAACAGAAAAATCAACTTTTGTCTCCAAGTTATGTAAACAAAACCTATTATAAAAAGAACAAAACTCTTTCTGTGAGAGACCATAAAAGAAAAATAAAATGTGTTTCAATTCCTTTTACTTATGAGGGGTATGTTGAAACCTAAAAAAAAGTAAATATAGGCATGTGTTTTGTCAAATGTTTGTAGCAGTTTTGTTAGTTTTATTCATTGCTATAGCTGCTGCTGTTAGTTTTTGTTGCTATTTCCTTACACGATAACCTACACAAGTCAGTGAAAGTCCTTGTGCCAAAAAATAAATTGAGCATTTTGACACAATTTTTCTTAGGTTTGTAATAGGAGCTTCTTGCTAAAAAAAACCAAGAGAAAAAATTTAAAAAAATTAAATACATACCCAGCAAAAACTTATATTGAAAACTAATGAGTTAAAAATTTAAAATAGCCGCTTTTCACTACTTATTCATTAGCATTCTATCTCATTATTTTAACAAGGTGATGACATTGGAGGCAAGTACTTACCACGTTTGCTTACAAATTACTAGTTAAATGAGTATAAATAGAAGGTTAGAGAGTTGTTTTGTTTTAAAAACAAAAAATCACTTTTTGTTCGTTAGTTCACTATCTTACTCACAACACCACAGCTTATTTTATTGTGCGCCCAATAATGGATTTCACCAAGAAACACCATTTTCATTCTGTGTATTAAAAAAAAGTTGCTAGGGCGCGATCCAATAAAACGGCAAAACTCAAAATAAAGTACTTACGTATCTGATTATATGTAAGTGATTATAAGAGTACTTAAAAGTAAATGGTTATATAAGTACAAGTCATAACCGAGTTTTTGCTGGGTATATACTATGTTAAGCATAAAAATAGATGCTGATGTGTTCTCTAGGAATTTTCTTAGCTTATTATAAATTGTAAAACAAGCATGTGTGTTAGTAAACGAATAACATATACATGGAGTAGCTAGCTCCAGAGGAAACACATCTTATATGTATCTTTAGGTTGTAATTTTTAAGATTTCTTTTCCTAGCTTTTCCTTTCTTAGTCTTAAGTGTAATCGTACTGTTTGTATTCTTCTACTGTTTGTTGTAGTCATTGTATGAATTTGTGTGTCTTTCCTTATATCTTGTATGTGTTTATAGTTTATAAGGATTGTATTCAGCAGTTGACAGCAGCCATATAATGTCGAAAATATAGTTCATGTACATGTTGTATATGAAATGTGTTGCTGACACCCATGTGGCATAGTAATTTTCTGCAGCTTTTACAGATTTTTTTTCTAAATTTCTTTTTATTTTCATCTTTGCTTTGCTCTTATAAAAATGCACATACAAATCTTACACTCATAATAAAATACTTGTCAAAAATGTTTGCTTGTTATAAATTGTTAGAGTCGACAATTTATCACCTAGGGACTACAATAACCCAAATAAATGTAAAAGTAATAAAAACCGATTTGTGATTATTTGTTTTTGATGAAGATTATTTTATTAGAAATATATGAGGATGAATTTTTTGTTGAATATTAAGAAAGCTCTTGATACAAGAACCATTAATTTTGAAAGTCTCATGAATCCATTTTCCAAAAATTGAGTTGAGTGTAGTGTCGGAGCCACCAGTAAAGGTGCGCACAAATAGCTCAATGGACTAACTAACTAACTAACTAACTAACTACACTAACTAACTAACTAACTAACTAACTAACTAACTACTAACTAACTAACTAACTACTAACTAACTACGTAACTAACTAACTAACTAACTAACTACTAACTAACTAACTAACTAACTAACTAACTAAAACTAACGAACTAACTACTAACTAACTAACTACTAACTAACGAACTAACACTAACTAACTAACTAACTAACGACTAACTATACTAACCTAACTAACTAACTAACTAACTAACTACTAACTAACACTAACTAACTAATCTAACTAACTACTAACTAACTAACTAACTAACTAACTAACTAACTAACTAACTAACTAACTAACTAACTAACTAACTAACTAACTAACTAACTAACTACTAACTAACTAACTAACTAACTAACTAACTACTAACTAACTAACTAACTAACTAACTAACTAACTAACTAACTAACTAACTAACTAACTAACTAACTAACTAACTAACTAACTAACTACTAACTAACTAACTAACTAACTAACTAACTAACTAACTAACTAACTAACTAACTAACTAACTAACTAACTAACTAACTAACTAACTAACTAACTAACTACTAACTAACTAACTAACTAACTAACTAACTAACTAACTAACTAACTAACTAACTAACTAACTAACTAACTAACTACTAACTAACTAACTAACTAACTAACTAACTAACTAACTAACTAACTAACTAACTAACTAACTAACTAACTAACTAACTAACTAACTAACTAACTAACTAACTAACTAACTAACTAACTAACTAACTAACTAACTAACTAACTAACTAACTAACTAACTAACTAACTAACTAACTAACTAACTAACTAACTAACTACTAACTAACTAACTACTAACTAACTAACTAACTAACTAACTACTAACTAACTAACTAACTAACTAACTAACTAACTAACTAACTAACTAACTAACTAACTAACTAACTAACTAACTAACTAACTAACTAACTAACTAACTAACTAACTAACTAACTAACTACTAACTAACTAACTAACTACTAACTAACTAACTAACTAACTAACTAACTAACTAACTAACTAACTAACTAACTAACTAACTAACTAACTAACTAACTAACTAACTAACTAACTAACTAACTAACTAACTAACTAACTAACTAACTAACTAACTAACTAACTAACTACTAACTAACTAACTAACTAACTAACTAACTAACTAACTAACTAACTAACTAACTAACTAACTAACTAACTAACTAACTAACTAACTAACTAACTAACTAACTAACTAACTAACTAACTAACTAACTAACTAACTAACTAACTAACTAACTAACTAACTAACTAACTAACTAACTAACTAACTAACTAACTAACTAACTAACTAACTAACTAACTACTAGCTAACTAACTAACTAACTAACTAACTAACTAACTACTAACTAACTACTACTAACTAACTAACTGACAACTAACTAACTAACTAACTAACTAACTAACTAACTAACTAACTAACTAACTAACTAACTAACTAACTAACTAACTAACTAACTAACTAACTAACTAACTAACTAAGTATTTTTATTTGTTGCTAATTTAAAAATTTTGAAAAAAAAAATTATTTATGTTTTCCACCATAAATTTCGTTGTCATCCTCTGCTCTTCACCAATTTTCTCGGGCTTAATTTATACATTTTCTTATGTGCTCCCAAAAAATAAACGTATGTAAGTTGACTTGACAAAATAGTTTAAAGTTTAGATTTCTTTTTTCTTTGCTGTCATAGATTTTTCAATGTTTTCCGTTTTGAAAATTCTAAAATCTTTTTTTAAATTTTATGTCCAATTTTATTGGCTTATAACCTTTTTTTATTAAGGTATTGAATATATTTTTTTAAAGTTGGTGACTAGTTCTGTTTGAAATAAAGATGTCAAATATGTTACTTTTTTCCGACAAAACAAAAATGTAAAAAAAAGAACGGACAAGAAAATGAAAGACATAAAATACAATGCATATACAAAAAATAAAAATAAATTTGTTCAATAAAAAGGTTAAGATTTGATAGCATAAGTTTGGTCAGGGATAATGATGTTATTTGTATAAATTCCAAAGTCAAAAGGGTTAACCATCAGATAGGTTAAGCTTATTTCTTTCCCCCCCCATACTTAAGCTATGCATATTGTTGCTTTGTAGCTG